AGGGGCAGCCGCAGGGCCAGGAGTGCAGGGAGGAGGCAGACAGACCCCGCAGCGGGAGCCGGAGGCCGGCGGGGGAGGGGGCACCGAATGGGTGCATGGTGGCGAAAAATAGCCGAAGCACACCCCGAGCGGAAGCTGGAGGTCGCCAGGGGGGGGCACCGAATGGGTGCAGGGTGGCAAAAGGAAAACCGCGAAGGGGGGGGGGAGGGCAGCGGGCCGAGCGGGCCAACCCAGCTCCCGCAGATGACTCAGAACAGGTCCCAGTGGTGTGTCAGCTGCGGAGGGCTACCAGCGGTGGCTGCTCGAGGCTGCCCAGCGCTGACGAGTGGGATCGTTGCTGGGCCAGGATTGGTAATCCCCAAACGTGGTGGTGACAACACCTGGCGGTGAGTCTCGGGCGATTTGGTGTCACCACCCGGTTTGGGGACTCGTGCGGTTTTCCGAGGATGTCCCAGACACTGATGGGGTCCAGGAGTCACAAAACCCGGTGGTGACCCCGCGTCCCCAAACCCAGCGGTGACCTTTTTGGGGATTCCAGGTCACCACATGGTATCTCACCACCCGGTTTGGGGGTTCCCAACAGGAGGAGTCGGCAGGACGCTTGCCTTTCCCATGCGGCCGGGGGGCCCTTCCCCTTGCCTTTCGCAAGCTCCGCACTTTGTCTCCTCTTGTCAAGTTCTCGATGCCACTCAGCGCTCCAATCGACTCGGATGCCCTTGTGCCTGCGGGGACCGCAGACATCGTAGTTGGACTGGCAGAGCACACGTACGAAGCTCTGACCAAATTCAGCACGGTGACGCTTGGGGTCCTTGGCTGAGTACGGCCCCCATTCGTGGTCACATCCACACACACACACGGGATCTACAAAATGTCTTTCCGGCTGAGGACCGGTGAAATGATGGGCAGCCGCGGACGGGGCGGAGGGGGAGGAAGAACGAGCAGGCGGAAGTCCACGACGACGACGACGACGACGACCACGACGACGACGACGACGACGACGACGACGACGACAGAGGATGAGGATTGGTCAAGGCGGACGGGGAGGAGGAGGAGGAGGAGGAGGAGGAGGAGGAGAAGAAGGAGGAGGACGAGAAGGAGGAGAAGGAGGAGGAGAAGGAGGACCAGTGCAAACCCAAGAGTCATCAATGATGTTGGAATAAACCCTCCTTCCTAGCTCCCTCTTCATAGACCCCTACTACGGTTCATATCCACTGAGGATCTGCCCCGTTGGAAGACAACCGTTTGAAGACCCTGAAGCATGCCAAAAAATTGTTTTCGGGATTCCAACGCCACGGATCAACCTGACTGTTGCGTCTTAACAATGCTGAATCGTGCCAGAACGCCGTTCGTGGAACTTCAACACCGCGAACCAACGTAACTGTTGCACCCTCAGAGTCCTGAATCCTTCCAAGACACCTTGTCTGGTACGTTGACCATGGGAATCCGCGAAACTCCTGCACAATGTTAAGACGAATACGCGCGGCGCTAAGGCGACAGCCTCATTTTGAAAAGGAACCGCTCTCAATCCGTGAAAGTGTTGCACATGTTTAACACGAATGTGCGCGGCCCTGGGGCGAGAGCCGCATTTTGAAAACGGACCGCCCCCAATCCGTGAAAGACTTGCAAATTTGTTGGAAAGAATGTGCGCGGCGCTAAAGCGAAAGTCACATTTTGAAAACGGGTCGCCCCCAATACGTGGAACTCCTGCAATTCTTTAAAATGACTGTGCGCGGCGCTTGGGCGAGAGCCACATTTTGAAAACCATCCGCCCTCCATATGCGAAACTGCTCTCATGTTTAAGCTTCAGTATCACTAGTGGTGAGGAGGGCTGCGGCGAAACGCCCGGCACGCCCCAAAAACAAGCCTCGGGGTGCGACAGGGAGAAGTTAGTTACAAGGAAAAGGAATGGAGGAGGAGGAGGAGGAGGAGGTGGAGGAGGAGGAGGAGGAGGGGGAGTGAGAGAGGGGACGCGGAGGAGCGACAGTGCCATGAGCCAGGTTCGTCAGCTGAGGATGGCGCCTACCAGGGGGAGACCTTGCGACCTTCCCGCCGTCTGCCTGATTCCAGCCCGCGAGAGGCGAAAGAACGGGACAGGGCCCCCCCCGTCGAAAGGGTTACATGCGCGCAAGCAATATATCAACATATATATATATATATATATATATATTATTATTACTAAGAATTATAATTATTTAAACAAAAAAATGCATCAGACAAGCAGGCGACCGACAGAAATTGATCAGCGTAGAGCGGGCCAAAACCAAACCAAACAGCCCGAGCCGACCGACAGCCGAGGCGGAGGCGAACGAGGGAGGGAGGCGGGCAAACAAAAGAGTGGAGGACGTCAGCTCCTCACACGCCGAGCTGGCGCTACTGGATGTAGAAAATTAGCGCGAAACCACATCGTAACGTTGAAATTCCGCCGTTCAAGGAAATGAGTGCAGTCTGGGCCCCGACGACACGGGGCTCAAAAACATACACTTGTGGTTCGCGCTTATTACATGTTCGGCGGCGGCCGCCGATCGTGTCCAGCTCGGAACCCGCGAAACTTGAACGACGTTACGAATCAGATTCGCGTTAATTGTTTCTATCCACTGCCTTCCAGCAAGGCCGACTCGAGGGCCCCTTCTAACCTCTACACACGCCATGGGGCTCCGAAAGCAGCGCGGAACCCACATTATGAAAACTTGTTCCTTTCGGAAGTGACTCAGCGCGGCGGCGAGACGACCTTTCCGATCAGGCTACGTGGCCGATGGGCTGCAACGGCTGCAACGTTACGAGATGTTCGGGTCTCGACTGGCTCAAGCGAAACGCCGATGAGATCGCCAGGAATGGCGCTCTGGGACGTCGCGCTATCTTCATGTATTTTCTGTGTTAGCCTGGCTGTGACGAGAAGATCCTGGGATCGCCAGGACTGGCGTTCTGGGACATCACGGTCTTTTCTGTCTTGGCCTGGCTACGGCGAAACGATGAGGAAAGTCACGAAGTGCGATAGGATTGCAACTTCCCAAAGTATTTACGAAGGTTCAACGTTATGATCGGCATCGTTTTGATGAGGAGGTCCTGAGCCAGAGCCCAAGAAAGTCATCCACTCGTGCAACCCTATCGCACTTCGTGGCTTCCATCATCGCTTCGTCGTAGGAAGACTAAGAAAGAAAAAACGCAACGTTCCAGAACGCCAGGCCTGGTAATCCCAGGATCCTTTCCCCATAGCCGGGCCAGCACACAAGACAGCGCAGCGCCCCGGAACGCCATTCCTAGCGATCCCATCGTCATTTCGCCTAAGCCCGGTAAGGACGGCACGTGGAAGCAGGAGGAGGAAGAGGAGGAGGAGGAGGAGGCGCGAATGGTATTCACTTGGTGAACAATGCAAACAGAAACCCTCCCAGATTCAAACGGTCTCGCCATAGTTTCGGCGGGCCCGAGCCAGGGCGACGAACTGGCACCCCGCCGCGATGGCGCCACTGGAGGTGCAGCTAAGGAGACCTCCCCAGGACGCTTTCTGGCGATCCCGCAGGCAATGGGCCCCCCGATTGCGAGAGGGCCGCCTTGGATGAAAAAATTGGCGCGAAACCACATCGTAACGTTGAAATTCCGCCGCTCAAAGAAAAAATAGAATACCGGCCCCGACGACACGGGGCTCAAAAACATACCCTTGTGGTCGGGCTGATTTTTTTTAACATTTTCGGCGGCGGCCGCCGATCGTGCCCAGCTTGGAACCCGCGGACTTCCAATGGCGAAATTCCAGAAGTTACGAATCAGTTTCGCGATGATTGTTTCCATCCACGGTATCGGCAACGCTTGGTAGGCTCCCGAAGACGACGCGCGGTGCTCCAGCTATTCGTGAGCCCTTTTTAGACACCGCCGGTGAGAGAAGACTGGGAACCAAAGTGCGCAAACGACAGAGATGTATGACAGGGGTATCTAGCTGGACAGAAATCAAGAGAGGATGAAAATATCCGAACTGCTGAGCGAGCTCACAGATAGCCGATAAGCTACACCGCTCCTGCAGATACTTGTCGAGACGACTGTGGAGGGGATGCTCATCAACAGGGGGGTCAGCGAGGGCATTCAGGATTTGAGAATTTCGACGCATCTGAACGATGCAGTTTTTTTTTTGCGATCACTGACCCGAAAAATGTGTAAACATAACCTCGTCACTGCCCCCGACCTCGTCGAGATGCGCGCACAACGCGTGGAAAGCCATCGAGTAGAAGGCTCACCTGCACTGAGCGGCCTGAGCCATTCACACGAGAGATCTCGCCTACACGGCAAACCTAGCTCATTGGCCGACCTCAGAAGGTTGCACGAGAGGGAGCTCCTGGGAGCGAGAATGAGAGACTGGAGGGATGCCCGTTCAAGGCGATAGGCTTCAGAAGTGGGCGAGTAATATTGAGCAACGTGCCCGAGAGAACTGAAACATAACGTCGTGGACATGGCCATCGTACGCTTCACTCCGAGTTTCAGAAGCTTCAAAGCCTGAGCACGACCCAGACATTTCACAGCAAGCTCCCGCAACGCCGCGTCCCTCCCTCCAGAGCCCAGGAAGATTCCAAAAGATTTGACAAACTGAACGAGCTGAAACTTGTCCATTTTGACTCCTATCTCCCGAAGCTCAATTGCGAACTCGCCCCAAGACGGGGCAGCCACAATGCAGACTGCGGCCCTGTCAAGGTTGAGCACGAGCCGCCTGGCTGCCCAACCTGCGACGATCCGCGCCGGCAGAATCCAGCGCAGCACCTGATAGACGCCAAAAGCTACAAAGCCAAAGTCGCATGCAAAGTCCCCAGGGCGAGCTTCTCGGGGTCCCAGATGGTCACGTGCTTCGCCAGATTGAGGACCTGCTGTCATACACTGCCAAAGATCTTGTTCTGCGCGCGGACCGTCGGCGGCACATCGAAGCGGCTACGAATCTGGACGCGCCTCTTGGCAACTGGGTCGTCGTAGAAGATGTCATTACCTCGCGCGTAGTCTGAAAAGTTGTTTGCCTTGCTCTCAGTTTAGAATTTGATAAAGCTGCTCTGGTTCAACTTGTGACACTTGTAGGTCGCGTTGGCCGCCATGTTGGCTGAAACACTGCTCAACATGTACTTCGCGTGATCGACCATGGCTGCGCTGAACATGGGCATCCAGAACTTGGTTGAGTCTGAAGGGGGTCCCTCCTGCGTTGACACGTCGCCGAGCGCTACCACGAGAAGCAGGCGCCGAGGAGGAACTACGACACGCTGTCGCTGAAGTCCCCCACTTGGCCCCGACGGATGCATGAACAAGCCTCTGAAGGTCCTCATTGAAGGCGCGACTGGAGTCGATCATGTGATTCTCCATGTCATCCCGTGGTGTGGGCCTCCGTGGCTCCCTTCATCTCAGCGAGAGGGGCACCTGAGACCCCACGTTGCTGAGACTTCGCGTGGCCCAATCTGGAGTTGACTGGGCCTCTTGATGGCGGACAAGACCTAGCCGATGCCCGACAGAAGCTCATCCTCGTCCTCGTCCGAACGAGCCTTCTTCTTGGGCCCCACGCTGGCACGTGCTGGGCTCACTGGCGTGATGCGGGTGATGGTCGCACACAGACTCGGGCGACCGGCACAGGAGAAAAGGACCCGCAGCGCCTGAAGCTCCACGATACTCGTGAGATGCTGCAGCTTCAGGGCACGGGGGCCCTCGAGCCTCCCCGTCGGCTGCAGCAAGATCCAAGCCCCAGGGAAGGTTTGGAGCTTGAGCCAAAATGGCTACGGAGGGGGACGCGGAGCAGGAGAAGAAGGAAGAGGAGGAGGGGAGGGAGCAGAAGGACGAGGAAGGGAGGAGGGCGAGGCCGAGGAGCAGATGGGGAGCAGAAGCATGAGTGGAGCGGACTGAGGAGAAGCAGCAGCAGAAAAAGGGGGTGGGGGAAGGGTGGTAGAAACGTAGGGAATACTGGGCATGAGCGGCAGCAGAAGCTGCTCCACGCCGGGCCCTCCTCCTCCCTCCTCCTCCTCCTCCTCGTCTGACGTCCCTCCTCCTCGTCCCTTGTCCCTCCTCCTCCCTCCTCTCTCCTCACCCTCCTCCTCTTCCTCTTCCTCCATAATCATCATCATCATCATCATCATCATCATCATCATCATCATCATCATCATCATCATCATCATCATCATCATCATCATCATCATCATCATCATCATCATCATCACATCATCATCATCATCATCATCATCATCATCATCATCATCATCATCATCATCATCATCATCATCATCATCATCATCATCATCATCATCATCATCATCATCATCATCAGCAGCAGCAGCATCATCATCATCATCATAATCAGCACCATCATGATCATCATCATCATCAGCAGCAGCAGCATCATCATAATCATCATCATAATCAGCACCATCATGATCATCATCAGCATCTTCATCAACATCATCAGCAGCAGCAGCAACATCATCATCATCATCATCATCATCATCACATCATCAGCAGCATCATCATCATCATCCGCATCATCATCATCATCATCAGCAGCAGCAGCATCATCATCATCATCATCATCATCATCATCATCATCATCATCATCATCATCATCATCATCATCATCAGCAGCAGCAGCAGCATCATCATCATCATCATCATCATCATCATCATAATCGTCCCTCGTCTCCCCTCCCTCCTCATCTCCACCACCACCACCACCACCATCGTCACCATCACCATCACCACCCTCACCACCCTCACCACTATTACCACGCATCATCGTCCATCCTCCTCTCCTCCTCCCCCTGCTCCTCCTCGTCCTCCTGCTCCCCCTCCTCCTCCTACTCTGGGGGGACCAAAAGGTACCAACACCGCTACTCCCCGGACCTCTCCCTGAATGCGTTCTGACCAGGATTCCGAAGCGAATAAAGCGGTGGCGATGAGGACATCCCAGGAGGCCCAAAAAGAAGGAAGACGAAAGAAGGGTAGCGGCGGTATGGATGCCGTTTCCTCCTCCCCCTCCTCCTCCTCCGCCTCCTCCTCCTCCTCCTCCTCCGCCTCCTCCTCCTCCTCCTCCTCCTCCTCCTCCTCCTCCTCCTCCTCCTAATTACTCCTCCCTCTCGCCCCTCCCCCCCATCCGAGGCGCCCCCCCCCCCCGAGCCTGGGCGATGATGCCGACCAGGAGCATCTCGGTGCTCACGAAATTGTGGCCGAGGCGCCGCGACTCGTCCGAGGCCGTCATCACCGCCTTGATGGCCTCCCGGAGCCCCCTCCCCCCCCTCCCCCCCTGGCGCGGCGGGAGCCAAGCGCGCACCAGGGCCCCACGAGCGGTGCCTTTTGATCGGCGGCGAGCGAGGAGGGGTAAATTCGGAGGCTCGGGAGGCCCGGGGGGTTTGGGAGCCCGGAGAAAAGATCCTTCTCCCCAAGGATCCCCCTTGAACCAGATTTTGGACCCTGGGGGAGGGGGAGAAGGGGGAGCGGGACGGCCGAATGTCTCACACGCTTGGTCACGCTCCATGGTCATCGCGAGGACGACGTGAGAAGGAGAAGGCCTTATCAGAAGGCGGCAGGGCTTCTCGGAAGTCCTCGAGCCCCTGGGCCTTCTGAAAGGTGTTCTGTGTCTTCGGGGAAGACTTGGAAAATCCTCAGAAGGCCGTGGGACTTCGGAGCCCTGATAGAAGACGAAAAAACGGCGTACACATAAACGTTCGACGGTCCCCGCGGACCGTCGAAGGTTTGTGTTTCTGCCGCTTCTGCTTCCTACCTTTGATAGTTAAGCGCCTGCCTGCGAAGACTGCGGCCCTGGGCCGAGACGGACGTTGCCCGATCTTCGCTCTCCCTCTCTGGCCGCGGCCCTCAAGGAGGGTCTGCACCGTCCTGGTCCTCCCGGGCAAACTTGAGCAGGGACCGACCGTCCCAGCATTCCTTTAGGCCTACCACGACATGTCCTCATAACCCAAAAATAAACCAAACAAATCGAACCAGAGCTCGTGCAGGCCACGAAGAGTTCCTAGACCCTTCCTTGATGGGCTTTTTGGCGAGCCAGGACGCTGCGCCACTGCTCGACACACCCCGCGCGCCGAGAGGCCGGCCGGGCCTCCCGCGCCAGGAGGGCACCGCCGCCCCGAGGCTCGAGGAGGGGCGGCCCCTCCCGCGAGGCGCCGCGGACGGGGCGGGGCGCGCGGGTCCATGCGCGACCTCGGCCTCTGGAGAGGCCCGCCTCGGGGCCGTGGCCGTGGGCAGAGGGCAGGGACAGCGGCCCGCCTGGCGAAGGTCCCGACCGCGCGGCGAGGGGTGTGCCGAAGTGGGTGCGGGGTCAGAGTCGGCGGGTGTCCCAAGCTCTGCACGACACTCGGGAACTCCTGGGGCACCCGGGGCCTCGTGGGCGGGCGGCCTGGAGAGGCCACGAGGGCCGCCCAGGAAACCTCCTGGCGGCACGTTGAGCGAGGGACACCTCTGGCAACACCCGACTTGGCTCTGAGCTGTCTCGGGGATCCACTGGCCGGGGGTCAATACAAACCAGGGTCAGACAGGCTTTGCAGGATCGTGCAAGATCCTGCAGGATCCTGCGCGCTAACCTTGGTCAGTGCAACCCTACCTTTGCAGGATCCTGCAAGATCCAGAGCTCTGGCTGACCACCATTTGCATTAACACCCGTCTCAAGGCTCCCGAGTGTCGAGCTGCGAGTGCGCGCCAACCACAAGAATGAGGCGCCGAGGCTCGTTGATCTGGGGTCGCGAGAAGAGCGCCGTCGTGAAGAGCCCCAGCCAGAGCTCGCAAACCCGATCTTCCCAACACGGCCGACGAGCCAAGCCGATCCAAGAGTGCCTTGGGCCCGAAGCGGAGCAGAGGTGTCCACCGTGATCTGGCCATGATCCCTGAGATCCGGCATCGCTGAAACATAAAAACACTGACAAAAATCACGTCTGGAGGCCCGGACACCATCCTTCTGGGTCTTGTTTCGGATCGGATCGATCTGTGAGGGTCTCCAGGCCCGATTCTGGGCGAAAGCGCCCAGGCCGAAATGTTCGGGTCGGATCGATCTGCGAGGGTGCCAAAGCGCGGAACTGGGCGAGATCGCCTGGCTCGAAACAACTGGGGCGCCATGATCTCAGGGATGCCCAGGAAGCCTCCGAGCCGTTCCCCGGGGCCGCCTCTTCATCCTGAGTAGTGTTTTGACGGAGCCTCCGAGATGAGGACGCCAACGAGTCTCGATATTATTTGGCTGCCAACTTCCAAAGTGAAAAAAAATCGTGTTGGGAGGCAGGGGGTGGGAAGATACAGGGTGCGACTGTGAAACAAATACTAACAGCAGAGGCCTTGATACGGACGAACTGATCATTTCCCCCAGCCAACTCCTCATAAGCTGATAATCGTCTTTCTGACGAACTGATGGCAAGGGGACGATCCACGATCCCGAAGGTCCCTGGGGGGTCCCAGAGATCCCCAGAGGCCTCCAAGGATCTCCAGAGGCCTCCAGGTGCAGAGGCTCCTGGAAGCGCAAGGAGACCCAAGAACGTCCAGCGGCCTCCAGGAGTCCTCGAGGAGAGAGGAGGGAGGACATATCAGCAACAGCGATCCAGGCTCCTCCCTCCTCCTCCCCTCCTCCCCTCCTCCCCCCTCCTCCCCCCTCCTCCTCTCCCCTCCTCTCCTCCTCCCCCTCCTCCTCCTCCCTCCTCCTCCTCCTCCTCCCTCCTCCTCCTTCTCCTCCCCTCCTCCCCCTCTCCCCCCCCTCCCTCCCCCTTCCTCCCCCTCCTCCTCCCCCCTCCTCCCGCGCCGCGCCTCTCGCTTCGGGCCACGGGCGGCGCGGACCCGGGCCTCGCCGCGCCAGGCAAGCGGAGACGCCACCCCACCACACACGCACACACCGGGGGCTAAGGCATCGGGCTGCCGCGGGCATGCTGACCTCGGGTTATGTCGGGCGTGTCCCCCTACAGGGGGATGTTCGACGAAAGATGAAGAATACCCCAAAAAGCACCCCAGAAAGGCCAGAAAATACTCCAAAAGTAGTCCCCTGGCTATTTTTGGACTATTTTGGGATCATCTTTGGGGTATTTTTTGTATTTTTCGTCAAAAATCCCCCTGTAGGGGGACAGGCCCGACTTAAACCTCGGGGCGGCTGGAGCGTCAAGCAAGACCCTTCTCGCAGACGCCAACCCCTGGACCTGGCTGCCTGGGCAAAAGGTAGGGAGGGTTGACGCCTGGGTTCCTGCCGGATCTGCACAGAATGCGACACGTGAGCAGCAGCATGCAGGCAGCAGCTCTTCACAATGCGACCGCAGCGTTTTCCAGATCAGCCCCGGGCCGAATGGCCCGATGCAAAAAACCTGCCGAGGAACCCAACCATTTGCAGCTGCGACTACCGCAAGGGAAATCAATCGATGGAGGCGGGCGAACGCATTGCGGGTAGCGTGGGACACAGCCTCTGCCCCATAGGCGGCACGCCGCAGGAAGGACGAGGCAAAGAGCAGCAAGGGCAGAGGGCGGCAAGCGGCGGGAGGAGGCAACAGGGCGGGGGGACGCATGCCAGTGGCCTTCGGAGCTCCCTCTGGGGCCACGGAGCGCGCGAGGGGTGCACCGAAACAGCCAGGGAGGGCGCGAACCCTGCCACTGGGGCCTCCGGTGGAGCTCCCTCTGGGGCCACGAAGCGTTTGAAGGTTCCGCCGAGATTGGTCTGGGGTGGAGCCCCCCTATGGGGCCACAAAACGTGTGAGGTCGGCCTGGGGACGCATGGGAACCCTGCCACTGGGGCCTTCGGTGGAGCTCCTCATGGGTACACGAAGCGTGTGAAGGGTGTGCCGGAGTACCTAGGCCTGGGGACGCACGGGAACCCTGCCACTGGGGCCTTGGGTGGAGCTCCCGATGGGGCCACGAAGCGTTTGAGAGGTGTGACGACATTGGCCTGGGGACGCATGGGAACCCTGCCACTGGAGCATTCGGTTGAGCGCCCTCTGGGCCACTAGAGGGGTGTGCCGAAATGAGGGTGGGGACGCATGTGAACCCTGCCACCGGGGCCTTGGGTGGCGCCCCCGATGGGGTCACGAAGCGTGTGAGGGGTGTGCCGAAATGGGCCTGGGAACGCATGTGAACCCTGCCGCTGGGGGCTCTCGATGGAGCTCCCAATTGAGGCCACGAAACGTGCGACGGGTGCGCCGAAAATGGGCCTGGGGACGCATGGGAACCCTGCCACTGGGGCCTTCGGTGTAGCTCCTTATGGGGTCACGAAGCGTGTGAAGGGTGTGCCGGAGTACATAGGCCTGGGGACGCATGTGAACCCTGCCGCTGGGGCCTCCGGTGGAGCTCCCGATGAGGCCACGAAGCGTTTGAGAGGTTTGCCGAAATTGGCCTGGGGAAGCATCTGAACCCTGCCACTGGGGCTCTCGATGGAGCTCCCAATTGGGGCCACGAAGCGTGCGACGAGCGCGCCGAAATGGGCCTGGGGACGCATGGGAACCCTGCCACTGGGGCCTTCGGTGTAGCTCCTTATGAGGTCACGAGGCGTGTGAAGGGTGTGCCGGAATACATAGGCCTGGGGACGCATGTGAACCCTGCTGGGGCCTCGGGTGGAGCTCCCGATGGGGCCACGAAGCGTTTGAGAGGTGTGCCAAAATGTGCCTTGGGACGCATGTGAACCCTGCGGCTGGAGCCTTCGGTGGAGCTCCCTATGGGGTCACGAAGCGTGTAAGGGGTGTGCCAACATGGGCCTGGGGACGCATCTGAACCCTCCACTAGAACCTTCGGTGGAACTCACCCTGAGGCCACGACAATGATGCGGACATGCGGAGAGCAGAATGAAGGATGATGACGATGACGACGACGATGACGATGACGACGACGATGACGACGATGATGATGCTGATGATGGTGATGGTGATGGTGGTGGTCGTGATAATGATGATGCTAATGATGATGATGAAGGTGATGATGATGATCACTATCGCAAGAGCAGATATCGTAGTAGTAGTAGTAGTAGTAGCAGTAGCAGAAATAAAAGTAGTCGTCGTGGTGGTAGTAGTAGTAGTAGTAGTAGTAGTAGTAGTAGTACGCGTAGTACTAGCAGTCGTAGTATTTAGAAGTAGTAGTACTAGTACTAGTACTAGTACTAGTACTAGTACTAGTAGTAGTAGTAGTAGTAGTAGTAGTAGTAGTAGTAGTAGTAGTAGTAGTAGTAGTAGTAGTAGTAGTACGAGTTGTAGTAGCAGTAGTACTAGCAGTAGTAGTAGTAGTCGCCGTAGTAGTAGTAGCAGCAGTAGTAGTAGTAAAAGTAGTAGTGTAGTAGTAGCAGCAGTAGTAGTAGTGGTGGTAGTACAAATAATACGACTAAGAGTAAGAATACGAGGAATACTACGAAGAGTAAGAAGCATACGAATGATAATAAGATAACAACAATCATAATAATACTTAGAAGATAGAACAAAATGAATAGTAAAAATGTGAATGGCAATACCAAGAATCCGACGGAAAATTAAATTAATGTTGATGATTGTTTATGCTGTTGATGATGATGGTCATGATGGTGATGATCATGATGATGATGATGATGACGATGATGATGATGGTGGTGATGGTGATGATGGTGATTATGACCATGGTGGTGATGATGATTATGGTGGTGATGATGATGGTGGTGATGCCGATGATAATGCCGCTAATGATGATAATGATGATGACAATGATGGTGGTGATGAGGTTGGAGATGACGATGATGCCGATGATGACGATGCTGATGATTATGTTGTTGATAATTTAGATGGAGATGGTGCCAAGAATGCTAAAGACAACGACCATGATGGTGGTGGTGCTGAATGCCCTGCTGATAACGATGAGCATCATCATGATGACGACGACGATGACGCTGATGGTGATGATGACGGCGATGATGACGTTGGTGATGATTATGACGGTGATCATGGTGGCGTTGATGATGATGGTGATAATGATGGTGGTGGTGATGGCGGTGATGCTCGATGATGAGGGTGATGATGACGATGAAGATGATGACGATGAAGATGATGATGGTGATTGTGATGGTGATGATGATGGTGATGCTGATGACGATGATGCTGGTGATGATGGTAATGATGTTGGAGATGGGGGCTATGCTGATGATGATGATGCTCATGATGGTGGTGCCGATGATGGTGACGCTAATGATGATGATGATGATGATGACGACGATGAGGAGGAAGAGGAGGACGATAATGATGGTGGTGGTGTCGATGATATTAATGATCATGGAATGCAGAGAGTACAGGCAAGGAGGATAAGGTGGAGGAGGGAGGAGAGGGGAGGAGGGAGAAAGAAAATTGGGGCGATGCGCATTCAAAACGAGGACCCAAAACCACAGTACGCTTAGGAATAACAAAGCATCCTCTTGGAGAGGGGCCCATCCATATGCAGGTGTTAATACGTCAAGATAAATGGAAGCCGGGGGAATGCGTGCGCGAAAAGGACTGAGGCGTGCGTGGAAGGGCGGAGCGAAGTTGGTGATGGTGTCGCAAAGGCCAGCCAGCCAAGGGGGGGCACGAGCCGATCGCGGATCGACCGGGCTCGAGGAGCAGGAGGTGGAGGGAGGAGGGGGAGGAGGAGGGGGAGGAGGAGGAGGAGGTTGAGGAGGAGGAGGAGAAGGAAGAGGAGGAGGAGGAGGTGGAGGAGGAGGAAGAGGAGGAGGAGGAGGAGGAGGAGGCCACCCGTTACGGGTGATCTGCGCGACTGTCGGCGAGGCCCTGGGGGTGGCAAGCAGGCGGCGGGGCCCTCGGCGAAGCTCCCCACGAGACGCGTGAGAAGCGTGCTGACACGGGTGCGGTAACGCATGCGAGTCCTGCCACTGGGGCCTTCGGTGGAGCTCCCTCTGGGGCCACGAAACATATGAGAGGTGCACCGACATGGTGTGTAGAAGGCATGCGAACGCATCCACTGGAGCCTTAGGTGAAGCTTCACATGGGGCCACTAAACGTGTGAGCGGTGCCCCGAAATGCTGCGGAGAAGGCATGCGAACGCAACCACTGGGGCTCTCGATGGAGCTCCCAATTGGGGACACGAAACGTGAGGGGTGCGCTGAAATCGTGTGGACCAGGTATGCGAACGCAGCCACTGGGGCCTTCGGTGGAGCTACGCATGGGGTCACGAAGCATGCAAGGGATTCACCGACATAGTGTAGAGAAGGTATGCGAACGCAGCCACTGGGGCCTCGGGTGGAGCTACGTACGGGGCCACGACGCGTGCGAGGGATTGGCCGACATGGTGTGGAGAAGGTATGCGGGCCTTGGCACTGGGGAGTCAGGTGGAGCTCCCTATGGGGCAACAAAACGTACGAGGGGTGCGCCCAAACGATATGGAGAAGGCATGACAAAGCAGCAATGGGACTTAGATGGAGTTCCCTGTGGGGCCGCGAAGCGTGTGAGGGGTGTGCCGACAAGGTGCGGACAAGGTATGCGCACGCAGCCACTGGGGCATTAGATTGAGCTACGTATGGGGCAACGACGCATACGACGGGTGCGCCGACATGGTGTGGGAAAGACATGCAATCGCAGCCACTGGGTCCTCAGGTGGGGCTCCCTATGGGGCCACGAAATGTGTGAGGGGTGCGACGGAAGGAACATGTGGAACGCAGCAGGAGGAGAAGGAGGAGGGAGGAGGGGCAGCATGAAGTGAGACGTGGGGCACTGCCTCTTCAAAGCAAGAACCCAATTCGACACAACGTGGTTGTCTTTTGGTTTTAATTCATTGATAATAACGATAATAATACTAATCATAATAATAGTAATAATAATAATAACAATAACAATAATAGCAACAACAATAATAATGAGAATACTAATAATCATCATCGTCATCATCACCATCATCATCATCATCCTAATAGATTATAGTAAGATTAATGATAATAACAATAATAATAATAAAAATTAATAATCGAAATACTAACAATAATAAAAATACGAACAATAACAGTGATACGAAGAAGAATAATGAAAACAACGACATATTAATAATGATAGCAATAAGAATGCTAATAACAACCATAACAATAATAATAATGATAATGGCAACAGACAAACATACACACACAACAAAAAAATTAGCCTGGCGAAGGACCCAACCATATGCTGTTGTGAAAATACTGCAATTGTGAATGCCATCTTGGCCCGCGCTCCCTATGTGGCCACGGCTTTCCGCCGGAGCCCGACATGCTCAGGGACATGTTCGTGGCCGTCTTCGCGGGCGCCGACGACGACAAGGACGGCGTCCCTCTCACCGAGGAGCAGAAGCAGGAGAAGGCCTTGAGAGCCATGAGGGAGGAGGTGGCGTTGCACGTCGACAAGGCGGAGTACGACGCCCAGGCGCGGTTGTTGAAGCAGCACAACTATGGGGCCACGATCCTCGTGAGGGATGTGCCGCAATGGCCCGGGGCCGCCATGCGAACCCTGCCACTGGCGCCTTCGGTGGAGCTCCCTATGGGGCCACGGTCCTCGTGAGGGGTGTGTCGAAATAGCCCGAGGCCGCCCTGCGAACCCTGCCACTGGGGCCTTCGGTGGAGCTCCCTATGGGGCCACGATCCTCGTGAGGGGTGTGCCGAAATGGCCCGAGGCCGCCATGCGAACGCAGCCACTGGGGCCTTCGGTGGAGCTCCCTATGGGGCCACGATCCTCGTGAGGGGTGTGCCGAAATGGCCCGAGGCCGCCATGCGAACGCAGCCACTGGGGCCTTCGGTGAAGGCTCCCTATGGGGCAAAGATCCTCGTGAGGGGTGCCGAAATGGCCCGAGGCCGCCATGCGAACGCAGCCACTGGGGGCCTTCGGTGGAGCTCCCTATGGGGCCACGATCCTCGTGGGGAGTGTGCCGAAATGGCCCGAGGCCGCCATGCGAACGCAGCCACTGGGGGCCTTCGGTGGAGCTCCCTATGGGGCCACGATCCTCGTGAGGGGTGTGCCAAAATGGCCCGAGGCCGCCATGCGAACGCAGCCACTGGGGCCTTCGGTGGAGCTCCCTATGGGGCCACGATCCTCGAGAGGGGTGTGCCAAAATGGCCCGAGGCCGCCATGCGAACGCAGCCACTGGGGGCCTTCGGTGGAGCTCCCTATGGGGCCACGATCCTCGAGAGGGGTGTGCCGAAATGGCCCGAGGCCGCCATGCGAACGCAGCCACTGGGGCCTTCGGTGGAGCTCCCTATGGGGCCACGATCCTCGTGAGGGGTGTGCCGAAATGGCCCGAGGCCGCCATGCGAACGCAGCCACTGGGGCCTTCGGTGGAGCTCCCTATGGGGCCACGATCCTCGTGAGGGGTGTGCCGAAATGGCCCGAGGCCGCCATGCGAACGCCACTGGGGCCTTCGGTGGAGCTCCCTATGGGGCCACGATCCTCGTGAGGGGTGTGCCGAAATGGCCCGAGGCCGCCATGCGAACGCAGCCACTGGGGCCTTCGGTGGAGCTCCCTATGGGGCCACGATCCTCGTGAGGGGTGTGCCGAAATGGCCCGAGGCCGCCATGCGAACGCAGCCACTGGGGGCCTTCGGTGGAGCTCCCTACGGGGCCACGAAACGCTGTACTGGGTGGGTGAAACGCCGCAAGGAAGAGGGGGAGGAGGGAGGAGGAGGGGGAGGAGGAGGAGAGAATGAGAGGAGACGCGGGCCACCGTCTCTTCAAAACGAGGACCCAACACCACAGGATGGTTGGGAAAGAAAACGTCCCATGTCTCAGCCTTATACCTCGTCCCAAAGACCGGCCGAGGGGAAGCGGGAGACAGCGAAGAGGCGGCCTTCTCGTTGAAGCGGTCGAACATCATGGTCATCGAGGCCACCGCGGGGCCGCCGCCGCCGCCCGCGGCCGGCGCCGCGGCGGTGACGGACCCGGCGGCCGAAGAGCCCAGGAAGGAGGAGCCGCGCGACGACACCGCGCCGCCGCTCATGCCTCGGGGCAGCCAGTGCCACACGGCACGAGACTCGAGGCTCGAGGCTCGAGGCTTGAGGTTGCGACGCTCCAGGATAGAAGCTCGAGGCTCGAGGCTCCAGCTTCGAGGCTGCGAGGCTCCAGGCAGGCTCGAGGCCCAAGGCTCGAAGAGCGATGACGAGGAGGCGGAGGAGGCGGAGGAGGAGGAAGAGGCGGAGGAGGAGGAGGAAGAGGCAGAGGACGACGACGATCGAGACCGACAGGGACAGTACGACGAGGCAGGAAGAGAAAAGAGGACCGAAGAAGTCGCAGCCAGCGCCACGGCACGCGGGAGAGGCTGGCTATACACCAGCACCGCTCCTCCGACAGGCCCTCCCCCTGGGCCCAGGACGGGCGCGCAGGGCTGAAATGAAGCCAGAAAACCATAGCGAGCCTCATTTCTAGGGCTTATTCGAGCGAGAACATCATGATAGCTATCATTCGTGGACCACATCGCACCAGAAACAGAGTGAGCGTTGCTGGACCGTTCTGCTGGACCGCCGCCGGGCCTGGGAGTCGCCTCTCCCCAGCCCCCCCCTTGGCGGACATTCTGGTGAAAGGACTACTTGAACTCTGCTAGAACTTTCTGGTGAAACGCTCAGGGGGGAAAATTATCCTGGCGAGGGACCCAACCATGCGCAAATGAGAGTACCGCAGCTGAGACTACCGTCGTCGGTGGCCCTCCCTATGGGGCCACAACGTGTGAGGGGTGCGCCGAATCGGGCGCGGGGCCGCCATGCGGACCCTGCCGCTGGGGCCTTCGGTGGAGCTCCCTATGGGACCACAAAACGTGGGAGGGGTGTGCCAGATCGGGTTCGGGGCCGCCATGCGAACCCTGCCGCTGGGGCCTTCGGTGGAGCTCCCTATGGGGCCACGAAACGTGTGAGGGGTGCGCCGGATGGGGGGTGGAACTGCATGCTGACCCTGCCGCTGGGGCCTCCGGTGGGGCACCTTCTGAGGCCACGGAGCGTGTGACGGGTGCGCTGGGTGCGCCGAAATGGAGGTGGAACTGCATGCGCCCATATGACGACGATGAGGACATGCGGAGGGCAGAGGCGAGGGACGGGAGGAGGGAGGCAGGAGAGCACGAGGGAAGCGGGAACGCGGGAAGCTGCCTCTTCAAAACGAGAACCAAACACGACAGGATGGTTGGGAAACATATGTTTTACACACACACACAACCAACAAAAAAAAAGAGGAGGAGGAGGAGGAGGAGGAGAAGAAGGAGGAGGACAAGGATCGAGAATCGGATCCGAATTATTCGTTCCTGGGCCTCTCAGGAGCATCTCGTAGTCACGATTGGTGGCTGTCTACGCGCAGCGTGCCCATGGACAAGCACAGGGTTGCAACGCCGATGCTGCAGCACACCCTCCCGTTGCCCTCTTCACAGATTCGACGGTGGCTCCTCTTCACTGCGAGAGACGCCCCCGGCCGGTGAACGACGAAGACCCCGTGGGCCTGCCAACGTCGGCCCAGGTTCCCGCTGTTGGAAAGCACCGCCCTCCATCCTGCGGAAAATCAGCGGGCGTAGTCCAACTTCTGCTTCTCCTGCTGTTCCTCCGCCGCCTCCTCCTCCTCCTCCTCCTCCTCCTCCTCCTCCTCATCATCATCATCATCATCATCATCCTCATCCTCATCCTCATCCTCATCCTCATCCTCCTCCTCCTCCTCCTCCTCCTGCTCCTAGCCATTCCTCTCGGGGAAAGCGGGGCCTGGGCTATCAGCCGCCAACTTGGGAGTGGCATTGCCGTTGATGAGCCATCAAGAATGGTGGGTCCCCGTGTCCGCAGCAGCAGCGCTGGGACTAGGCCCCGCCGAGGCACGCGCGCACGATGACGTCCTCGTTTCTCCCCCGTCTTTCTTTCCTCCTCTCTCGCCTCGTCATCAAGGACGCGCGGTGCGGATCACCCTCCAGGATGAGATCAGGTAACCAGATGGTCTCAGAATGCCGATTAGGTTCACCTATGACCTGAACGGCAAGTGCGCAAGAAAAGGAGCGGAGCCCAACGTCAGCAGCTGCAACAGCGGCGACCAGGCGAATCTTGAGCTCGATGCCAGCAGCGGCAGCGCTGGGATCTGGGAGAGCACCAGCCAGACGCCTAGCTGCGAACAGCGGGAGGTGAAGTCCGAGCCCGATGTCATCAGCTACAGCGCTGGCGACAGCGAAGGACGAGGGCGACAGCAAAGGACGAGGCCGACGTCATCACCTACAACGCGACGACGACGAGCAGCGAGCACGAAGGCGACGGGACAGCCAAGGACGAGCCCAACGTCGTTAGCCACAGCGCGGCGACGACAAACAGTCACTGCGAGCGTGAGCGAGGGGACGGCTAAGCACGAGCCCAATGTCATCAGTTACAGTGCTGGGATCAGGGCACACCAAACGGCGGCCTCACGTCACATGAGAAATGCGAACAGGGGCAGCAGGCTCTGGTGCTACTCGACGAGAAGGTGAAAGCGAAGCGAAAGCCCGACGTCATCACTCACTAAACTGGGATCAGTACGAGCGAGAAGGCCGAGATCCCATCCTGCGAGAAGCGGGAGGCGAAGTGGGAGCCCAAACTAGCCAGCACTAGCGCTGGAAACAAGAAGTGGGAGGCGAAGCTGGAGCCCAAGGTCGTAGTCTACTCCGCCGTGCAAAACTTGTGCGATAAGGGCGGGCAGTGGCAGCAGTCTCTAGCGCTGCTCAACAAGAGGTAGAAGGCGAAGCAAAAGCCCGACGCCGTCAGCTACAGTGCCCAGCTGGAGTCCGAACGGGACGGCGACAACGCTGGGCAAAACGCGTGCGAGGCAGGCGAGCAGTGGAAGCAGGCGCTGTCGCTGCTCAATAAGAGCCAGAAAGCGAAGATGGAGCCCGATCTCATCAGCTATCCGCCGCTACACTGCGAGAAGTGGGAGGCGAAGCTGGAGCCCGAGCTGGTCAGAAACAACGCTGTGAACAGCGTGTGCGATACGGGCGGGCTAGGGCAGCAAGCTCAACGTGATCAGGCAAAAAGGCAGGCGGCTCGGGCGCCATCCTGCGAGAAATGGGAGGTGAAGTTAGAGCCCGACGTTATCAACAGCTACGCTGTGCCGCAGGGGGTCGGACGTGTTCTCCACCGCAAGGCTGAGATCAACTCGTGCGAGAACACTTCGAGGAGCGTGGGGCCAGGAAGGATCTCGGATACAGTGCGGGGATCGGGTCGTGCGAGAACCAAGGCAGTGGCAGCAGGCTCTTTTGCCGCGGGGTCCGACGAGCCATTCTAGGCTACAGTGCCGAGATCAGCTCGTGGGAGAATGTGTGAGAGAAGTGCGAGAAATCTGCTTCATGGTTGGCTGGCGCGGCCCCAGGACGGCCCGATGCGGTCAGCCGACCCACGGCGCAATCCATCGGGGTTTCGCGAACCGTCTGACCCGCTGAACTCCGCTGAAATCCTCCTCCTCCTCCTCCTCCTCCTCCTCCTCCTCCTCCTCCTACTCCTCCTTCTCCTCCTCCTCCTCCTCCTGCCAAAATCATGCGAAGTGCCTGGCGAGAGCCCCATCCTGAAAACGAGCGGTTCTCAAGCGCTTCAATACAAAACCCATTTTGTGATTGCGTTTGGAGAAATCTTGAGCGGCATCCCAATTTCGAAACGGAACAGCCTTCCCTCCGCACAGCCTGACGAGGTTTCAAGCGAAACCCTTGCTTTAGAAAGAAACCGCCCTCCGCCCATGCAAGTGTTGCGTACTGTTCATCCGTCGCACTCCAAGCTTCGAAAAGGGCTCAGGCAAGAAATTCGCTTCGAAAGGGAGGCCCTTCATTCGTTTGACTGCTGGAAACGTTGATGACGAATGTCGGCGGCGCTTTTAGGAAGACAACCACATTTTGAAAATCACCTCCCCTTGATCCGTGCACCTGCTGAACGTTGAAGACAATCTGCGCAGCGACAAAGCGGGAGCCACATGTTGGAAACCAGTCACCCCCGTAATGGAAATTTGAAGGGAGTGTGCGCGACCAATAACGTAGGCCGCATGTTGAAAACGTCCAAGCCCTCCATCCGAAAAACTGGAAAGAACGAGAGGAGAAAAAGAGTGAGGAGCCAAGCTAGCTGCGATCGCGCCATATCTGGCATCCTAGCCCTCCCAACCATCCCTTCCCATTGCGCTGAATTTGTTTCTATCAGCTGGCTGGCGTGTGTAGAAAGGGAGCGCTGTATATTGAAAGAGGCGGGAGACATGCCAGATGAGCTGAAGGACGAGCAGGAAGAAGAGCACGATGATGATGGAGCAACGACGAGGAGCGAATCGGATCCAGAAAAGTGGCACGCGCTGGGGCCTGAGCGCAAGTCTGAACGACGAGAACAAAGCACCGGTCCTGAAGTGCGACCAACGCTGCGGCCGTTTCCGAAGGAGAGGAAACAGCCCGATGTCAAAGCACACGCGGGGAAACATATACATATATAGACATATATGTTGGAAACGTGCGCCTGAAAACAATATGCAGGAGAGGGTGACCCACACACACAACCGCATTAGAGGAGAGAGGAGGGTAGTATTCATATTGTGTTGAAGGAAGAGAAGACGAAGAGAAGGAGATGGAGGAGGAGGAGGAGGAGGAGGAGGAGGAGGAGGGACGAGGACAGGGAGATAAGAAAAAGAGATAGATAATAATAGGACACGAAATGATTGAAACGCCGCGGCCGCGGATAAGCGTCTGGGCCCAGATAAGACCAGGCGGATCAGGTTGCAGCATCAGGCCTCGAAGGCCACCGAAGGAGGGGGAGAAGGAGGAGAAGGAGGAGGAGGAGGAATGGGTGTGGGCCAAGGGTGCGAGGGAGGAGGGGGAAGTGCAGGAGTGACCCCCAGAACTCCGAGGCGAACCTTGCCGTGGCGACCAGAGGCCTTCCCCAGGACACCCGGGAAGCACGACACGCTCCCGGGAAGCCTCGAGCCTCGGTCCTCGAAGGACCGACGACGACGACGACGCCGACGACGGTCCACACATCCGACGATGCGATCTCT